AACTTCTACATATATGACTCGAAGCAATCAATGTCATGCACTTAAACAAATGTTAGATAAGTTCTTCATACCTAAAAGGTCTTTCCCAATCCCTCATATGAGGGATTTCGAGCCGTTTAGTAGCGAGGCTACGTGGCGTGTTCCCAGGTGGCGGATAGAGGGCTAATCAAGGATCAAAAACAACCTTTGCTTCCCTGAGAAGCAGGTGGATCTTGAGGATGGACTTCCTGTATCTGCTGCCTTGATTTGGCACATCCTTTCTGTATTTGTTAGGCGTATTTATGCATGCGTGTGTGGGCGCGTTCTGGTTTATGCGGATTGTAATCTAAGAGTCAATTCTGCTAAAAGCCTGCAATCAAGTGACTGGGAAGTATATGGGAGGCGGTTAGGAGTCGCCTACAGCAAATGAGCTCTATGTCCACTTTGGGAGACTCTGGTAAGCTACCTGTGAGTATACCCAGTCCCTACGTTCAGAGCACAGCAAGCTATACGTGGGTATCAAAATGCTAAACAGTAAAAAAAAAAACGGGACTAATTCCCCTGGCCCCGAAAGAGCCCCCAATTTCGCAGCGTTGGTAGGAGGAGTAGGGAGAGGCTGCTAAAATCTCCAGGCCAATGGAAGCTGCCTGGATATCGAAGAGCTATGGTGACGATCCGTACCTACAATGCACGTACACTTGCAACCGTGTCGTCGATAGAAGACTTGCTCATGCAAGCAGTAAGGATAAGGTACGACATCATAGGCCTGGCCGAGACGGGACGACGCTACCCATGAGCATGGAGAAGCCGAAGCGTTCTACATGGAGTTGCAGAGGTTCTACAGAGAAGACCATGTATTCCTCAGGACCATCACTGGAGATTTCAACGCCAAGTTTGGACAAAGAAGAACATCTGAAAAACGTCACAATGAAACCCATGGATTATAGTGGGCCTAACAGGGTGAGCGGCTGTCTGAGTTTACCAATGTGACCAAAACCATCCATGGTAATTCGCAATTCTAGAAACACCACCCTCAAGGCTAGACGTGGTGGTCTCCCAATGGAGAGTACCATAACGAAATAGACCATACCATGGTAAACAGAAGGTTTTGCCAAACCGACGTCGTTGTTATCCCAAAATTCTACACGGGATCAGACCAGTGTCTCTTTCGTGCAAGATTCTATTTCTCGAGGAAAGGAGAGAAAGCAGCTAGTTTCAAAAACCGAAGTTTTAGAGCCACCATAAACTGGAACTTATTCAATTTATTAGTCAATTCAATTAGTCGGTCGTTGGAAAGATGCCGTTGTCGATAACATCGACGAAGAACACGATCAGCTCATTCAGCATCTTCACGTTTGCGCCACGAAGGCCGAGAGTTCGGAAGTCATGAAGAGACGTCTGTTTCCATAAACATTCGAGCTGATACGCCAGTGTGGAATCGCACGAGCTGCAGGCAACCGCTAACTAACGTCCGAACTTGCAAAACAGTACAGACAGGCGATAAAAGAAGATCTTAAAAAGAAGAGCTGCAGTAATGATCGAAGCTGTAGAGGATGGGAGAAGCATTTGCAAAGCACACCGAAGCTTCGCCCATAACAAGACCAAAATAATTACACTCCGGAGCCCAGACGCAACAGTTACAGCGACCAGAAAGACAATGTGGAAAATCATTCACGAGTAGTACTCAGATCCCTTCGATAGCCACGTCCATATTTCGTCATATGAAGTAAAGGAGAATGGATATGTTGAACCACCGGTTCTACCTTCCGAAATCCGACATGCCATTTCGTCGGTGAAAAATCGAACAGCACCAGGTCCGGACAGGATAGGACCAGGACACGTGGAAAACCTTTCACCAGTCCTCGTAAACACGCTGGCTCGGCTCTACACAGGCTACCTGTATGAATGCGAGGCCTCAACTCAGTGGAAGACCGGCACGACCGTGTTATTGTTCAAGAAGGGTGGCCTACACGATATCGGCAACTATCACCCAATCTGCTTACTGTTTGTCGTCTACAAACTTTTCTCTCAAGTCGTCCTAAACAGGATTAACAGAACACTGGACGGAGGACAGCCATGTCAGCAAGCAGGGTTTCGAAAAAGATTTAGTACGATGGACCACATCCACGCGATAACAAGACTCATTAAAGCATCGCATGAGTACAAAAGACCGCTCTGTCTCACTTTCATCGATTTACGGAAGGCCTTTGATTCAACTGAGATAGAAGCAGTCATGCAAACTCTTGAGAGTCAAGCAGTCGCTACTCAGTACATAAAGATTCTTCGTGAGCTGTACAAAAATTTCACAACCAAAGTATCACCATTCTACAACGATGTTAGCGTCAATGTCAAAAAAGGAGTTAGGCAAGGCGATACCATTTCGCCAAAATTATTTACCGCCACCCTACAGAACGTCATGCAAACGTTGCAATGGTATAATATGGGAGTGAAAATCGATGGTCGGCAGTTACATCATCTTCGCTTTGCTGATGACATCGTTCTCATAACACCAAACATTAGCCACGCGGAAGGTATGCTCACCGTCTTTGATAAAGCCTGTGGAAAGATTGGTTTTCGACTAAATCTCACAAAAACGATGCTCATGAGGGGCAGATTCCCTATTCACTCTCAACGGAACGAATATCTCCGAATGCTCCAGTTATGGCTGTCTAGGTTGAGAAATCAACATGTTGAACGACTTAGCTCCAAAGTTGAGCAGAAGGAAACGAGCGGCTTGGGGAGCTTTCAAGATCATCGAGGATGCGGTTAAGAGAACAAAGAACACCCGACTCCACACCCATCTTCTTGTCTCAACGGTACTTCATGCCTTAACATATGCGTCTAAAATATGGTCGCTGTGTAAGCAGGATGGAAGATCACTCAGCGTTATTGAACGCGTATCCGAGAGGACGATGCAAGGAGTATCCCGTTTCACACAAGTAAAGGAAGGGATTCGAAGCTCTGACCTAGGTGAACGGTCGAAAATCAAAGATGCCGTTCTGTACGCCAAACAGTCGAAGGTAAGGTGGGCCGGATACGTAATGCCTATAAGTGACATCCAATGGACAAGAGCCTTAGTGACTGAATTCCTCGAGATGTCAAATATACTGCAGGATGAGCATCAACCTGATGGGCAGAGTTCTTCACAGCCTAGAAGAAAGATATGATGCTCGACGAGTCCCTAGAGCGAGCAGAATCCACTGGACTAGGCTTGCTCGCGCCGGGAAAAGGTGGAAAATTTACTGGCGCCCGCTCGAGTCACTCGACGATCAGTGGGAATACGGGCGATACAGGTGATGAGGCCCTCCATAGAAGATCAAAGGCACTCCTTCTTCCAGAAGTTCCGTTATCTTGTAGTCTTCCATCCGCATGGATGTTCGTGTTCGTATCTGAATTTAAGCGAACCTTCAGCATTTCCAATTCTGGCTAACATGCTGGGTGTTGCTTGGGTGCTGTTTTCTCTAGAACCCTCGGATAGCAATACTGCTTCTCTGTGATATGTTTCCCGTAAGCACAACAAGCAGATACAGAACAATGCAAAAGGCCCTCATTTGTTCCAATAACATATGGCTAAGGATGTATTATGTCTAAGTTTTACTTACGGCCTATTATTTTTTCACGGCAAGGTATTAGGTGGAATACAACCATAGTGATGCTGAGATAAGAGCAACGCCCGAAGCAGCAGTTAAGCGACGAATCCGAGATTACGCTATTCTGGGACTCGTGCGTAATCGACTGCACTATCGAAATTCTTAGTCAACCTTTGTGTCTGCCAATTTTTTTCTACTCTAACTCTGCTATGCCACCGGAGAGAGTAATCTCGGTTTTGGTGTTGCGAGTTTTACTCATAACCTATGTATCAGTAACAATCTATGACTTCTAGCAGGATTTTCTTTTTAAATGAATCTCAGAGTCTAGGAGTCCAGAAATTGATAGATTATCATTAACTATTTTTTGATCACAATCTTAACCCTTTTATTTACTGCCTTTTTCTTTTTAATGGCTGGGTATGTTGCGAAATATAACTCGTATGTAATGCTGAGATATTTGCAAAACCGCGGATCGCAGGTGTATGCGGTGGGGAACGAACACGCGCTGTTGTCCTTACCGGGGAGCAGCGCACTTCACCACCACACCATCCGGGTCCTTCGTTCTGCCTGTCTCTCAGCTAGAAAAAGGCAGTAAATAAAAGGGTTAAGATTGTGATTATAACTAAGCCTCAGCTTAACTGGATTCAATGCCGATTCGGGCTCCCCAGATCAATCCCGTTGACGGGTGATTGCTGATGGCAAAAAGATCGATAGAACTAGATCAGTGCGATGATACCTTTGTTAAAAAAAAGCCACCAAGAATTCACATGTACCCATCAACCGAAAGCAATATTTGAACCGCGTCCTTCGAGGAAGAAGGCACTTTAACTTATATAGCTGTACTTCCAACAGACTTAATACACATTTATAGCATAATTGTGCATACACACATGCATGCATTTCATATATATTCCATATATATACATCTCTCAAAGGCATTGCACGATGAAATCTTACATCAGTATTCCCTAGCACGGATTTCCATGAGAGCAAACACTACTTCTGAATATCGAAGCCTAGGAATATAATCAAAAGCATGAAAGCGATCGTTGAATGAGATGTTCACAATTAACGGCAATAAGGCTGGGATGAATGAGGATTTAAAACTCTTTAGGATACACCCATGTTGCTCTGGAGCAACGGATGTTGTAGTGATTCTATACACGTTTATTAAACCCTGGAAAGTCGTCTGATGACATTAACACTGATCATCGACAACTTCCATAGTGTAGTACTACGGAGATCAGAGCGCTTGGTGTTATAAAACACACTTTTATGAAAACAAGAAATCTTGAGATGCCAACAAAGTTAATGCTCTCATGGCTGTTTAGTTTAGAAAATTCGACGACCGATCAAAGCACAGCTTCATTTCGTCCTCACCATTAGGACTAGTAAAGTCGATCTAGGATTTGAGACAAAACGTAATCAGAGTTAGAATCGACTAAATTTAAAACGGCGAAATCCGGTCAAATTGTTTGTCGACTTTATCGACTCCCAAGAATAGGCAGCTGGTTTTTCGCAAACCGTCAAGCTGACTTTCCTACAGCACGATTGGAACCATTTACCATCGCGGTCCAACTTAATGCATCGCCGAGCACGATTCTTAGGTGGAGTAATGCCTGAAAGAGCAAAAATTACTACTCACTGAATTGTTAAAGTGTTTTTAAATCGTAACCTAATTCATAACCATTTCGATTGTATTGCCAGTTATCGGAAGACCTTGCAAACGGATCAATGTACTGCATTTCATCGCGTTAGAGTCGTAAACCAACACTATAGTTCCGCCAGTTGGTCGACTTTTTCCACTGCTTCCGTTCGCTACGTCTCAGTTACCCTTCCTACCGAAATGATCTATTATCGCTCTCTCTAAGGCCAAATTTCGACAAATGATCATCCACGATCGACTGCTCCAAGTTTAAAGGATGATAAGAATGGAAACAATAATGCATTACAAAACAAATAACATCAAAGATACTCGCATATCATTCAATGAGGTCTTGTCGGGAAAGGAACCTTCCGGAACAATCAGTGATGTGCAGGTACTCGTAAAGCGTAATTCATTTCATTTCCCATTTCTTACAGTTCTCTCTCATTGTTTGCTTCATGAAAATAGCGAGGGAATTCTATAAGTCCAGAAGTGCGATGCACAGCGAATGGTCCATCGCAGGGGGTGAAAATGAGAAATTCAAGATTTTCTTAACAATGTCTGGGAAAGAGTAAGTCAGTATGGCATCACTCCGGTCTCATAAGAAACTCATCGCCATGTGGCAAACCAACCTTAGATCGACAAACTCCAGCTGCTTCCGTTGGTGTTAACATCTACGTTTTTCGATATTCAAAGTTTAACAAAACAGTTGGGAGCCAGTTCGACCCTTCAGGTAAGCGTTTGAGAACTCAGTTCTCTCATCCATATAGCGTAATTGTCGCAGTTTCTTTAAAGATATTCTAGTTTAGTTCTCTATTTCAGTTGTAATCGTACTTTAAGGGTAATATTCATCGTTTCAACACCCATTAAGTAAATTCTACACAACTGCCATAAAAACTCCTCTCCAAATCTTAACGTTTTATTGACTATTAAGGTGGGCAAAGCAATGCATTTGTGTATGTTTTTTTTATTGAAAATAGAAGAAAAGGAAAAAATTTCGGCACTTTTCAAGCATTCAAAAGATCGCTACCAGGTCAAGTGATCATCAATCCATCACGTTAACCATTCGTTGTTTCAATAGCAACCTCTCGATTTCAAGTAAGTCCTACCACTGAAGCTACTACAGAAAGTTGTAAGCTCTAGGTTGTGGTTCTTTGCCCATTGATTAAAGATGTATGTTTTTTAAGTGTTACCGCTCGACTGCGAAAAGTTCAGTAGAAGTTCCATGCAGCTTACCGTCTTTCCAGTTTGTGTATCGTCCATATGGCTTGCGGTCCGAGTTCACGTATGAATTTCCGAAGTAAGCAGCACCGGTCCACATCTCACTGCGTCGTGACAGTTCTAAACGAACCGAATGGTTGCTTTTTAGTGCACTTTTTCTTATGAGCGGTGGAGCAAAGCCATGGAAATTAGTCCTATTTCTCCTGAAAGCAAAGTCAGAGACTAAGAACTGAATGAGAAGAAAACGCTTTTAAACGGTCAATTGAATGAATGAGCATTATAGGCTAAATGAATATAACAACGATTAATATTCGTTAGACGTTTGATGTTTGGACATTTTTGTACTTTTAGCTTACAAGGGCACACAAATTTTAAAGATGTTCATGTGCATTTGTCTAATTGTAGGGAACACGTGTAAGCGCAGCTGTAAGGGGCACCCTCATGGTCTTGCGTTCAGTTCCGCGCCGAAGGCTCACCGAGCTTTCCATCCTTCCGCGTGTCGGCAATTTGATGCCAATCTTGCCTGGGAGGATAGAAGCACTGATTCAATACATCGGTAAGCCATCACGATTCATTGTAAAGGCCAGATACGCATTCATTCGCCTCCAAGCGATGCTTTATGATGTTGAATTCCTAGCGCATGCCCCAGGTCTTTGCCGAGAGTTTTATCCTTATCCTTTACTTATTAAGTTGATGAACGGCTCTAGAAGTTTCTTCATGCAGCACGCGTGAACCGCTTCCTTTTCGTATAGTATTCGATACCGCCCTGTTCCACTCTCACTCGCTATGCCAACTCGCTACAGGCTTTTCGCATTCAAGAAGCCGTTTACCAACTTTTGTGAGGTGTGAAATTTACAGATGTTCTTTTCTTCATGATTATAGGCAGCCATTCTAGAAAGGCAGCATTTATCACTTAAAAATGTAGAATTGCCCTCGTAATCTCTATCTGCATCATTTCGGTATCATCTAGACTATGGCAACTTTTAAATGCTGCATTTCGACACACTTCATTGCAGTCATGTTCTTCTAAGAGCCGAGACTACCCAATCAATGCGAAAGACCGATACGGCCTGACTATGCTGAAAGAATTGAAAAGAACTATTCAATTTAAAGAAACTAACAGATGGGTCACTGAATTGAGATAAGCAAGAAGATATAGTATATTACACTGAAGGTAATCTCGTTTTTAGTAAAAGTGTTAGCAATAGGTAAAGTTGGTGATCTAGTAAGCGTCAGCGGAATCATGCACCTTGACTAATTCGGATCACTAATCCGCTGAATCAAAGACTTGTGATGGAGAGAATATGAGCTATTGCTGGCTACGATGACCTCTTTGCACCACTTCTTCGTACGTCGAAGATTTTCCTAACAGATGCTCTCTCTATCCAATGTTCTACAAAAGATCAGCCAATTTCCAATGTACCAAATTCTCTTGGAAAAGAAGGTTATTGTTATAATATTGAACTCGAAACTTGACAAATCATCAGCGAAAACTACGACTAGTTTATTAAAGAATGGATTTTTCCACGAAATCTCAAATTAGACCGAGAGCATGAGAGGAACTCCATGGTGCTAATGTAAGATGGAAACAGTTACTGCGCCAACAAAAGGGAAATGTAGAAGGTTATCCCGCTTTCGATTCTTACTTAACTGGAAGTTCATCCTAGTCGCTAGTATGCAATCCTACGAAGGTCTTCTGTGCTGTTCTACCATACAACACGACTTTTCATTGTCACCACCCTACTGATGGGGAATACCAAAGACAATTGTAGGTAAGAAGTCACGCTTAAAAGACGATTACCTTGGAGTAGACCATTCAAAAATATGGATATCATGACCGAAAAGTCAGCCTGATCATTAACGCATTGCAAAGAAGAGAGGGTAACAAGACGATTCGTGTGTTAGAAAACTATCGGGATGTTATGGAAAGAGAGAAGGAACACCTGCCACTAACTCCGTCGCTTCGATTTCTCACTTTCTTCCGCATTCATTGCTTCAGAAACCAGGAAGACAGTTAAGCGAGGTAGAAAAACAAATCTTGACTAGAGTTTATCGGTTGCGAAGTCAGACCCCTTCGCGAGGGCTAAGCACCATTAAATGATGTTGTTTGCGCCCATCAAAAGACTAAAGCCTATTCCCCTTACGCAACAACGTAACGACGCAAGGCCAAATGAAAGGAAATTCAACCGCCGCTTCGCCGAGGAGAAAATAGTTTGAAGTTCATTTGTTGTGTCAAGAAAAATGTGTGCTGTTACAGACCAAAGTTGAAATTAATAGAACAGTATGGCAGAATGTGATTAAGAAATACGGGATCCACTAAATGGGCGAAAGGTGGATAGGGGCAAAAAGCAAAGACGAAATCAGAAAAAGAAATTTTAAGAAATTATCATGTTTAACACTCGACTTCAGCGCGACACCTAACCGTATGTCGCTACAGAGTTGTTGCCTCTTCGATCACAAACGATTATTTCCTCGATAACAAGAGGAATTGAAAAGACTTGGGAAGCTGAGAGCACGACGGAATTATAGAAGGTAGTCCGCGGCATCGCTAAGACGATTTGTACGGGGTGGAAGCCATATTCATTTCTACGTTTTCCTTTGTATAAGCTTAACCACAATGTGAATTTCTTAACAAAGTTTGAGACCTCTAACTTATGGCTTTGTATAGCTTTTCTCTTATTCTTTCCTCAAAGTGAACGTAATATCTCACATCTTCGAAGTAACTTTCCACGACAATTACTGGTCTTGAGTACCCCTTTTAACACAAGCTTTTTGGATGTTCAAAACCACGTCAAGCATTCCCATAAAAGATAGGGATACGGACGATGAAGGAAAATCAAGTGCGACACCGTAACGACTGCGTCTAGTAACTCTACGATCCATAGAACTTCATAAGTTTTGGATAACACAGCGAAATATCGGGTATTCCTTCATATCTTTTTCACTGTTCTACATATCAACTGTGATAGATTGTATCGAAAAAGTTTACAGCACTCCTCCTTTTTTTGTCGTCTAATTTTACTTCAGTTATCACCTAGAAAAGAAGCAGCACCGCTTACCGTGAACAAACTGATTCTCGGCGGCACTCTCAATCGAGGTGTGATGTGCACCCTGGAAGAGGCATCTGTATTCAGCAGCTGACCACGGCAATTCTTCGTCTATTAGTTTGTAGCAAGATTTAGTGTGAGGAAAGTAACGCCAACCCGCATCACATGGTTTGACGGAGGCTGCTGAAACATTAGAATCTCTATGTTAGGAGTGAGGCAGCATAGCTATTGTGCGAAAACGGGATATACTTTTCACATACCGTATGCGAAAGAAGTGAGGAAACCTAGAAGAACAACAAATGCTGTGCGCATGACGATGTTGGCGTGGCCGGCTGTGAAGTCTGTAGTGATGCTCAACACCAACCGGACACTTTTATAGGGTCAGTAATGTCTGCAAACTGGGCGGCATCAATTATGTAGGTGATGATGGCGGCGGATGGATAGTCGCGCAACGCGTCGTTGTGCATCTTTCGATTTTCGGCACTTCCGGTGTGCAGCCGATTACATTACCTGATGACGTAATGCAGAAACGATTTCCGTCGGCCGACATGAACAGAGAGAAGAACCACTTCCCTCGTTTATTCGCTAAACAGGTAACCACGCGGTAGTGAAAAAATTTCGAGTGCACCATTTTGCCTGTATTATGCTACATAATTTACTGCCCCTAACTCAAAAACTGGTAAATAATACAACTTCAGTTCAATGAAAGTCGTACTGATCAGTTGAACAACCGTTAGTTTTGAGTTAAATGGGTTTCACGAATTCTTGTTTAACGAAATTTACGATTTTTCTAAGAGTGTTCAGACTTTTTAGTGGTTTTCTTTGGCTTAGGCTCAGGCTAGAGGGCCGAGACCTTATCACATTCACTTTTCCTGGTTTTTATTCAGCAATTTTTTTTGGAAAACTTCAAGAACTGTAAAAGATCTCATTAGATAGGCAGAGATGTAATAGATAAACAAAAATCTAAAAAGAAAAAATGTTTGAAAATTTCGCAGTTACACGAAAAGTTGGGACCGTATTAACTATGGCCGACAAAGCGTGCCATAGCACTCAGCCTCCTCATATCAAATATCTGTGTGAAGAGTTACGAGGAAAGACTTGAGCGCTCAAACCACACTGACCCATTTAATGTTATCCGCTAAATTCAAGGGAATTAGTAGACGTAAAAAAACATAGTTCCCATTTGCAAACCCATTCCTTATCCTAAAGTGTTTAGTATGAATTTATGATTGGAATCAGTTCTACTAATGAAAAACAAACCAAAATACATTTCCATTCCTTCTATAATTTTCCTCTTTTTTAATGTATTTTCTACTGACCTTGGAGAGAGGAAGGGTCGTTGAAATCAAACCGAACCAACGGCCACTAGTGTGTACAGGCACCTCTAACCAATATGCTACATACGTCCCAAAATCGATCAAAACTATCAGGAACAGTTACCATTCTTGTGTATTTCTGCCTCAAAACCCTGAAATTAAGTTAGATGTAGAGTACTCTTCCTTTCTCAGATGGTGAAAGTGTGAACGAAAATACAAGAGTTCTTCCCTAAGTATTTTCACAATGGCCATTGAGAGCCTCTGTTAGCGTTCACGTGACCGACAATCACAACAATAGCAAGCGTTCTGTTTGAAGCAGCGATAAGGTGTTAAAAACGTCGATGCTTGCACCGACGATGGATTTTTTATTCCCTCCTTACTATTTCTTCTCTATTTACTTCACCATAGTACAGCTCCAATACTACGGTAGTACCACCCTATTAGTGAAGGCGTCAAATTTAAACTATAAATATGACTGCTAAACATAGACGTAGATTCGACATTTCAATTTCTCATCGATTTTAATAAGCATTCATCAAAGATGGTATACTAATTTCATTCTTTGGATTTTTCCTTTTTTTAGAATTAGGTTGGAAGTCATTAATGGCCCAGCAGTAAGGTTTCCATTGGTAGTAAATCATTTTTGCAAACTTTCTGACAACGGCTATTTCTTCACACCGTTTGAAAGAACACTCTGGAAATGAGTTTATAGAACCCATCATCAATTTTGTTCACATTCTTGAACTGATATTGGTATTTGTTCACTTCTCCGGAAACGTTGATTAACAATTTTTTAAGTTTCGTTATCAACAGCCAAAACTTTAATACGGTAACTCGTCATCAGAAAACAAAACAAAGCACTCACATGGCACAAGTAAACGTTATGACAACATCGTTTTTTCTTCCCTCTTTGGCATAAAAAGGTTGCGCTTAAAAAATACCGTAGATCTACTACTCAACTCCTCGGTATTCTTGAACATTTTAGGTTTGTTGATTGACTGCATAAATATTTGTGATTGGAAGATGTATATAGGACAAAGGATAAAGCTCTCGCTATAGATCAGCCTTGAGAGATTGAGCATGCATTGTACTCCATGGAATTGTTAGTGGAGGTTACGTACCCGTTAGCTCATACAAAGATTTCTGATGGTCTGTTATGTTATAACCGAGATTTCCTTTTTGTCCTTAGAAAATTTCGGCATCAAGTCGTCAACGCTGAAAGAAACAAAGTTTAGTTTGCATTGTGTGTGGGCAAACAAACCAAGAAATGCTGAGAATTATTAGGAAAGACGTAATGTATTTATGGTGAGCAACATTGAGCCACGTTCTATCTGCTCTTTGGTCACTATTTCAAGCTTTGAGCAGAACCATCGTCTAGTGTATAATCCAAAGCGGCGAACATACCAATTTATGAATACAAAGTAGTTTTGCTCCTACTTGAATAGCGAAGGAATGTTGTTAGAAACCAACATATTGTTTCATTCTTCATTTTCAAAGCACAGAAACCCTGACTTACATGTTAGCGCTTTGGTTCGCAGAAATACCAATATGTTCTATGAGACGTTCCTCCACCTACGATTTTTTTGAAAAGAAATTCAAGCATAGGTCAGGCTTTGACTGCATTTCGAGAACGTAATGAACTTCGCGGACGATTTTTCAATTTTTAGGGCCAGGATTATCGATGAATTGAGGTATCGCATGCTAATTCTTTCAACTTCTACAAACCTGCTCGTTGAACGTAAGGTTTTTCGCATGCATTTAATGAAGTGTTTCGCGAAAATAAAGCCTCTATGGTTTTTATGGTGATTCGTCGCATTGTATTGCAACCATAGTGTACAGCTATGTCGATTATTACCTAGTTTTCACTCAGGTCATAAAAGAAATGGACCGTTCAAATTCTTTGCGTCCGGTTCAATGCATACGACGCCTGTGCCAAGCTCTTGAAGTTTTCACAGCCTTTAAGATATCTTTTGCTTGGGGTCAATCTTTTTGGCAAGCCGTTCAACCGTTAATTGTCCGGATGTGCATAAAGTAAACTCTTCATATAGTCGTTTTCGATGGTAGCGGCCGGCTGTCGTCGAATTCGCTCCTCTGTGACTTTAGGAAGATATTCTAGTTTTCTGTTTCAACGATGTTACACCTAAGTATTAGTATGTGAGAGGTAAAAGAAGCGATCAACTTTCATTTCTCGGTTTTACTTCATTGGCTTGACCAATCCAGCATAAATAAATTTATGCTGTGAAAAGAATAATACAAGCCGAAACCAGGTGAAAACAGAAGATTTGTAGGGAAACTAGGAGAACATAAAACTTTATTTAGGAGCAAAGCTCCAAACTTTTGGAAAAACAAAGCCAAGAAGAATTCCATCTTCTCAACTGATCTACGTTTCCAATAGCAGAAGTGATTCAAGTAGCCTGGCACCTCACTTGCCCGATTATGCTTCATATAATGGGAAGACGATATAGTCCTGGAAAGAAGTCAAGAAAAAACATCTAGTTCTAGTACTCTACTAAAAAAGAATTCATTAACAGATCAGATACCAACGCAGGTAGAAAATCACAGCAGTAAAACCAGCGTTTTCATAGTTCGTGAAAAAAATTGGCAAATGACGAAACAAGGACCCAGCTCTTCAAGCTTTGTGTTAATGTAAACCTTTCCTGCAGTGGATGCACTGCGATAAGCTCGTATTTTCACCGTATTTCTCTTCCTCCAAAAAAATGACGAGAGCTGAAAGCAAAACTTTTAGTCTTCTAGTAAGCTGAGTTATAATGATAAAATTTTAAAAAATCTATTAAGCGTGCTTTTATGCTTTTTTAATGAGGAAATTTCTCAACCATTCAAAATAGAAGATTTTCGTTGTGATGGTAATTTCTCGGTTACTGAGTATTCTTAACGAAGCCTTGGCAGGATAATAAGTTACAAACTTTCCTGAAAAATAACTAATGAAATGGAACCACCTCGATATTATTTTAAAGCAATAATGCAATCATTTCTCTGAATACCTGTTACCAACGGATGAGTGTAGTTTGTTCCTCCCAAAACTTGAGGTAAACTGTCATATGACCATCAGAACCTTCCCTTCAACTAATTTCATTCCTTCTGCGTGAATTTTATTGTTCAGATGACTAGTGCAATAACCTTGCACCAATCACTGGCGGTTTTGTTTGACACCGTTCCAGAGATTAGAAATCGCCGGAAATGGACGAGTTTTCTGCGGATTTTGCGGTCAACTGGCCTGCTCCATATTTCGCATATCTCGTTCCGTTTGTCATATCCGTATGTTTTCATCATTATCATTTCCAGCACATATTGCGCTAAACTGTGTTCCCCTTTGTGGTCACAGAAGGAAACAGTTGGGAAAAAACTAGTGCACAGGCTATTAGAAGCTCTCACAAATTAGTTGATACCCTTAAAATCTGCATTTCTTCTTTTTCACCATAGAAGCCGGTACAGCTGCTCACTATTACCGAAACAGAGAAGAATTTCAATAACAATCATTGAACAACTTAGTAGTAGAATTACTATCAAATGAAAAGCCATGAAAGTTGTGCATCTCTTACTGCGTTCCTAGCACTTACGTTTCTGCAATTACCCATATCAAACGTTTTTTTAAACACTCAGTGAGGGTTAGCGGCTCTAAGGCTTGGGACGAGGCACTGTTTCTAACCTTTATGGATTTTGTGGTTCTTGACAGCAAACGATGTTTTTCGGCAACCTGACCGCTCGAGTGGTTGTGAACGTAGCAGGACTGTAGAAGATACTCTATCGTTTTGTTAGTTTGAATTGTGTACACGCTATAATTTGCTATGTGTTTCCATGTTTCATTCATTCAAACACATTGCTGTTACCATTTCGAAGTGCTTTCCAACTTATAGTTTATTTCTGTACTTTTCTTTAAGCTCGCTCATTTCTTGAAGTAAAAATGATTCATCATAGCGATTACTGATGAAATAACAGTCTGTCGCCAATCAAATTATCTATTTATGAACTTGTCCAAGAAAAGATCCTTTTGTATATTTCTAAGTGCTGAATAGAGCTTTCCTCGGCCTCTGACAGGCAAAACAGCATATCTGTTAAATAACCCGTCGCCTGCTTTGACGTGCTGCTAAAGGGTTTTCTCTGTACCAAAATGAACAACCAGGAAGCGAATG